ATCGCGCGCCTGGCAGCTATGGTAGCAGTAAGGAGTGCGAAAATACTATCGGTTTTGAGGCACTGATGACTGAAACTGGGGGAGTAATATATCATGTTAAGGCTAGGAAGGGGGGAGGGAAGGCCTGGCAGGGACATATACCAGATAGGAAGGTTTTCGGACTGGGGTTCACGGAGGTTACTCAGGAGAACGTTAGACGGATACTGAGGGTGTGAAGATCTCATGGCCATGATCATAGTACTCATGTTCTTATCTCCTTGCTCATGATGAATAGTTCAACCCCTACCACCAACACCGACCTTCCACTCAACGCTTTCACGCTCTACTTCTACATCTCTTGTTACAACCCTCCTTCCCATTAACAACCCTACTGCCCATCCCTCTCAGCGAGCATCTCCTCAATATGCCTGTTCAACCAATACCTGCCCAACACCTCCCTCCCCATATCCCTCGCGCCCTTAATCTCCCCCGCACACGCCTCCGTCTTACACAAGCACCCAAAAGGCTGAGCCATACTCCACTCGGTACTCGGATAAAAGAACGTCAGCTCGTCCCCCTCCTTAAGCCCCTCCCCCTGCTCAGACACCCTCACTTCCCAGCGCTGCATATCAAACACCAGGCTGGGCTTGCAGCTGTGGTTTATATAGACGAGGTCGCAGTTCAGCTCGATGTGTAGGTCGCGCGAAGCTTGGACGGAGGAGTAGGCTACGGTGGCTGATGTGGGGTTTGTGATGCGCGCGAAGACTGCGCCGGGGGGCAGGTTGACGAGGGAGACGGAGCGCGAGGTGAAGGAGCCGGGGTTGTGCTCTACGCGGAGGAGACGGGTGAGGTCGGGTTGGACCCATGCGGGGATTTGGGAGGTGGCCGTCGAAGAAGGGGTGATGACGGGTTTGGTAGATGATTTCCCGTTTGTGTGGGGGGTCGGGCTGGGAGGGGTCGAGGTTACGGCTGCGGGAGACATGGTGGGTGAACTGGATTCGAGGTTTGGAATGAGGGATTTGTGTGTATGAGGCGAGGATGTTGGGTCACTGTTTGCTTTTGCAGTCAGTCAGTCAATAAAAGGTCTCTCGTTGGTCTTTAGTATTGTTTCCCCTTCGAATCAGAGTGTCCGGACGATGGGCTCAACTACACGCATTCAGGCTTACTAGGGTCCACATGAAGACGCAGTCTCTTCCTTCGTGTGGGGATACCACGGCTTGTTCCACTCTCAGGCCATCTAGTTCCATATTGCCGAAGAGGCTCGGTATGTCTTTACCTAGGTGTCTAAGCCTGCTTTGGTTGAGTAGTGATCCGAGGTACCTGGGTCTATGTGCCCAATTGCACGTGCGGTGGCCTCATCTGTGTATCTGTTGTATAATGGTATTACGCGCGATGCCCAGTTTAAGGCGGCACAGGGAGGATCAAGTGGGCTGGGATATGGTATATCTGTCGTCTGTCGTGCATGGTGGGGAGCTGCTAGTGACGTGGGTTGTAATAGTTTCCAGGTTCTCCGGCTTTGCAGATAGCCTCGGTAGTGTGAGAATGCGCTAGGCCGGAAACTTTCTAGCGTGCAGTTCTAGCACGTGCTGGCATTTACGACTCTAGAGCTGTCCCATTCTTGAGTGTGCATACAGGTCGTTGGCAAAGGACGGTAGTGATCTTGAGATGGTGGTTTGTAGTGAAGATGCGTTCGTATGGAAACAGTTTCTTAACACCTAAAGCTGTCGTCGTTATCGACTGTCTCCTCTTCACACCGAACCTACCTTATTTCCCATATGTCTGCTCAACTGGCACAACGCCATTGTCGTCGCTCTCAGTGCCCGTTGCATCTGCACTCTTCAGCCCCATGCTGCTAGTATCATATCCATTCGCTGTCAGGTACTCCCTGAACCGTATATCCTCCTGATCGATTGTGTCCTGGCCTATATGAGGAAGGAGCAATACCAGCCCAGCAGCTACGAAGGCAAGAGTGGAAGCCACGAAGAAAGGATTACGACCCGCAGCGATTTCATCATCGCCTGCAGCTTTCTGAAGTGCGTCCAGAGCGTAAGAGCCAGCAAAGGCACCGATCTTGCCTACAGCCGCTGCGATACCGTAGTACTGTCCTCTGTCTAGAAGTTAGTAACTAAAGCTTTAGGGGATGCGATAGAGTAATATACCGTATACCCGTTGCGCACGTCTTGGAAGCAACCAAACCAATATTGTCGCCCGGTCCAAACTCGCCCAGCGCAAGGAAAACACCATACACCACGACGAAGCCGGCAACATTCTCAGGCTTGTTCAACCAAGGATAGCATCCAGCCATGATGAATCCGATGATACCCTGCAACGTCACCCCGATGAACAGCGTCTTCTTGGGCCCCATGGAAGGTAGATCCGCGACAAAAGCACCAGCAAGACAACCAGGCATGTAGAAGAAGTTGATGAGAATGTTCCATGCCAGACTCTTCCACAGCGGTGCCGACTCTCCTAGCAGATTGGCCAAGATGGACGTGGCGTAGATACCGAATGAGTACGCGCTGAAGTCGTATATGAACCAGATGATGCTGACGATACTGAGGCGGAACCAATAGTACTTGATGATAAGCAGCCATGGTGTCTTCGCCTTGGCCAGCGACTCGCGCTTGAACGCCTCGGGCTCCTGTAGCTTCAATCGGAGGTATAGCAGCGACAGAGGTGGGATGATTCCGATACCCAAGCAGATACGCCAAGCGGCTCGTAGATGGTCTTCGCCCGTAGCGAGGACAACGACGGTCGCGACGATGGCGCTGATGAAGAACGCTAGGTCGATCTGGACGTTGGTGAAGAGGATAAACCACTTGTTTCGCGTTCCTTGCTTGAGTTCGCCGGTGGATTCTGCGCAGCCGACGCTGCCTGCTGGGTACTCTCCGCCAATACCTGTCGCGAGTCAGTACGTTGGTCGAGGAGACACAAACGCAATCCCACATACCTATTCCGAGGAAGAAGCGGTATACAACGAGCGCCGTCAAAAGTCCACTTGGACTACCTCCAGCTCCGTATGAAGCTGTACCCAAGATAGCGAATAGGATAATGATAATGGTTGACGTGAACAACGACCATTTCCTCGAAAAGTGATCCGATGTATACCCGAAGAACAGCATGCCCACGACTGTACCCGCAAAGGTAATACTCGAGACGTTTGCTTGGGCCGAAGAGTTCGCATACGAGTCTGGATAGATTGTTTTGAGCATCGTGTTGACCGGTCCAATGATCTAGGCATTTCTGTATCAGCATTTCTATTCTCGCAGTTTCAATCTCCACTTGGATGTCGTGGTGGTGCTTTGGGATGGGGGATGTTGTTGTCGCATAGGGAATTGTCTGGGTGTCGCTTCTTGGATCGAGTTCTGCGTACATTATTGAGGTAGCCATCGCTGAAAAGACCTGCGCCGCATGCGATGACGGGCCATAATCTCTCCCACCTTCCTTTCTCTGTCTTTGCGACGCTGCCTCTACGTTCGATGTCGCCTTTCGCGTCAGTCGCATTGTACAGGCCTGGTTGGGTTTCCGCAGCGGAAGCCATTGTAGTGTCGCGTGGGGCTTAACCAGAATGCGAATGCGATCAAGCAGGGTGTCGCGTCACGATTGCCAGCGCAGTAGGATAGTAAGAGTGTCGTTGGAGTAGAAGATAAGCTTTCGTAGGCGGACCGCTCAAACTTTAACGGCTCTCACTTGAGCTGGAGCTTGCTTGCAACCCTGGTACGGCTGTTGTGGCACTCACTGCAAAAGACCCTGTGATCACCCTCACTCGAACCCGCATCGGGTTTGGTGCTGTCCTGTCGCACTCATCAGACCACTCACAATGGAAGAAAGCTTTTCCCAATACTTGTGGCGTAGGATTTGAAGGCCCACGACGCGGCTGTTACTCCATAAAGCAGGTGCACATTTCCGCCGGGAATATCTGGGTACCGAGCAAGACAGCCGTTGGGGCTACAACTCTATCCAAGGTTACGCGTCCTTCGCCTTCTGGAATGCTGAAGGGTTCGGTATTAAGTTCTATTGCCGCTCACAGGAAATTGCGGTACTCAGCGGTTGTCAAACCCAAAATTCCTCGTCGATATTGAAGGGGAAGTTGCGTCCAGCCTCAAGCTTTGCCATGCTTTGTTCAGGCGTCCGAAGCCTCAGCGCGTCGCCCAAACAGGTTAGCACCACCGACGCCGCTGACGCCGCGCAGAGCTTATCCTGCAGCTGCCGTCGAAGTGGCATGAGAGCACGCGATCTAAAGTACGACATTCGATCGGGACAGCAACCCGAGAGTTTACCTTAGCGTCGAAATCGAATGTGCAGTATCTTACCGCCCAGGTGTGTTTGCATTCGACGAGCGAACTGAGCAGTAGGTACACTATCCAACGTAGCATGTGCTGCTTCCCGAGGTCCGATCACGTGCTGCTTCCGACGTAGAGATAAGAGTTGTCGACGCAAAGCTAAACTTTACGCAAGCAGGGCCACAGCCTTACATACTTTCATAACTTCTCGCCAATGTAGGTGACAAGAAATGATGAATGATCGATTACCATCCCTTGGCAGACAACCTTGGAAACCCCCCTTCGACCCAAAACCCCAACGCTCATACAATGGAGAAAGCGCGGCAAGCGGGGAGCAGGACGAACACGAACAATAGCACCGTGCGCGATTCAATTGAGATCCAACACGGCATCTCTGCGGGGGAACCATCGGTGATTGAATCAGTACACAGTATCCATCGACTGCATCGTGTTTCCAGTTCGGACCGATAACCAACGTTGCGGCCCGCGGCGTCTTGGGAATGTACAACAAGACCGAACGATCCACGTGAGCAAGTTGGAACGAAGGTGCCCAATGTGTGAATCGCGAAAGAATGAATTAGATGACTACATTACTACATACTCATCTGTTGTATGTGCTGCGTACAGGAAATAGATATGTTGCATATTGCATTGCTGCAGGGTATCACGCGAAAGACATTACCAAAGACATGTACTCAATCCTTCCCACCCCGTCTCTCCTTCAAATAAGCTGGCTTTTTACTTTTTATCCGTCGCCTTGAGGTGCTCGAACGGAATCGAGGACTTCTCGACCGTTGTCGTCACTTGTCCGCGTGAATTCGCCCTGTCCATCTCCATGAACCAGTCGTCGCCCTCGCTCTGCGTAAGGCTTTTCGAACTCCTGTTTTCGTTGCTCGGGATGCGGTATAGGTAGCGTGATGATTCTTGGCTGGGGCGGCCGGCGAGGTCCATGCCCATTGTTCGGCCTACGGATGAGGCGGTGCTTGGTTTTCGTCCTCCTCCAAAGCCGGTGGTTGGACCGACAGATGAAGCGGTGCTTGGTTTGTGATGATGGTGAATGGATGACTTCTCGCCTGACTTTCGAGGTGGTGCTCGGTCGGATATTGTGGTAACAACGCCCATCTTGCTATCCCCACCTGACGATTGTATCTTTCGGTCGCTAAGGCTGATGCCACCGCTGGAGTCGAAGCTATCGTTTCTTGTGACATGTTCGACGTGGATCTGTACTTCATTGACGACGAAGATCTTGTTGGAAGCTAGTGTTGCTATGGCGGGCCAGAAGATGGGTATGGAGGCTGTGATGATAGCGAAGTTGACTTCGAGGACGGCGAAGATATAGACGATGGGTGTGTGGAAGGACATGTCTAGGACAGGCTTGGTGCCAGCTTTGTTAACAGACATAGCGATCATGCGACCGACAGCTACGATGACGACACTGGTGGATTGTCAGTATGAAGCCTTTTTTGGAAGCTCATTATGCACTTACACACAGCCCAAGCTGAACAGACCAACTAAGCCTGCTCGGCTTTTACCCGCAATCCTTAGCGTGGTTACGAAGGGCAGAGGTACTAGAAGGACCATGATATCCAGTAAGCAGTTACTGACAGCATGGCCCAAAAACATGTGGAAAAAGTCGGCAGGGTTTTTGCTGCCCCATCCAATGCATGTGCCCTGCAATGTAGGGTTCCAGTTCTTGCGTACGGGGTTGCAGGGGAAAAGCGCGAGCATGAAAAAAGTCAACCCCCAGAGTGAGCATATCAATATCATGCCCCAGGTGATACGGCGTGCGAGTCGATATTGAGCGGTAGTGGTGGAGGGCGCGGCTTCGGCAAACAGTCGCAGATATTGTATGAGGATAGAGAGCTTGATGAGCGTTGTGCTTGCGGTGTATGCAGCATTTGTCGAGTAGATGTGCTGAAGCCAGCGTTAGCCTGGCAACTCAATGTTATGTCGGGATGTATTACCTTAAAATATGATGTTAGATGCTCAGCATCAAGTGTCCACAAATGCAGACCAAGACCATCCTCGGGCACTACAAATGATTAGTCAACCGCATTGTTCGTGGGATCTCAACAAACATACTCATGCAAACCATGATATCTCCGATGAAACTCGCCGTAGCAGCGAGAACAACGAAGACATCATCCCAACCCCAAAGGCGTTCCTTGATGCGGAACCATAATCGGAAGCTCAATGTGAAGATGGCGAGTGCCTGACAGGCTTAGTACATGACGTCTGATGGAATGATTTCTCAATCATCGCACGTACCAGGAAGGAAACAGTGACTCCGAGGATTGTCGCAGGTTCGTTGACGTTTGGCAAGTTCGCATTGTCAGGATGGTTTTTCGGATCCTGTAACAGAGCAGTGTCGGTGCTCATGTTTGCGCACTCGATGTGGAGGTATTACGGTAGAGGCGAGCGAGCGTCGTGTCGGTTAGCGAATCCGGATATATGTGAAGGTAGTATAGCTAGTCGCGATAAAACTCCATTACATGGTCCTGCCAACGTTCTGGAAAGATGGAAGATGGACCTGCAAGAGATGGTGCTACAATGGATCCAAATCGAGGCCGCGTTCGAGGCTGCATCAGACGAGGAGGTGTAGTGGTCTAATACGTTAAACGGTGGGTCTCTCGTGCCGAACGTCCAAGTCATGACATGCGTGCGTTGCCCTCCCTACGACACATGGTGCAACCCCTGCTGTCCCGCATGGAGGATCAAAAACGGGGTCGTGCAACTAGCGGCAGGTGAGCCTGTACATGTCCGAACCCCTGCTGTGATAGGTGTGATGGGTTGCAGCGCAAGGGCTTCTCCTACTCGGTCCTTGTGAGACATTAGACACTGGCGTAACTGGCAACGCTTCTTTCGAAGATGACAGCGTTTGACTAAGCTGGCGACCTATCATTTACACATTCGTTGACGAACTACAACGCGGGGGCGCCGCAAGGGTCCACATTAAGGGGGGCGAAAGCAAGTCATGGAGGTTGTCTGATCGCTGGTCGTTCACCTGTGTTGCAGCCACGAACAGGATGAGCAAAAAGTCGACAAGAGTGCGCGCGATGGTGGCAACAGGATAGTCTGCCGACAGTCGAGTTTGATTGGTACCCCGCAAAACAGCCTTGCAACCTGGTCGCCTGAAACCAGATAGCCCAGAACTTTGTTGCTTAGGTTTGCTTTAGATGCTGAATATATGCCACTTTCTTGATTTTTCTTCTCCTAGCCTTGCTCAAGTTCCTGCAATAGATGTGCCGCAATGTCGCTTCATCACAAACAAAGGAAAGAAAGCCGGCTGGACACAGGCGAGCCAATAGAGTCCAGGATCTGTGAGCGAGCGTGCAGCCTGTCTTATCCAGGGGATCCTATTGAAGATCAAATCCTTTGGAAAGGAAGCTCCCGTTGGTGGCGTCGGGATGAAGGAGCATGATGTGGAATGAATGGTCGCAGGTCGTTCGAACAGCTACGGTTCGCAAGGGTGGATGACTCGTTTCACGACTCTCCGGGGTCCACACCACTCGAAGCGAGCAGCTATAGAGCCAGCCCCCTGGCTTGCAAAGTCTCATGGCCTTCATGACAACAGTGGCCATGGAGATCTCGGTGTTGCCGTATGGTTCGCATCGCATTTCGGAGCCGGCCAATGGAAATCTAAGTCTAGTTGCACGCGAGGTATACAGTTTCGCGGAGGTTGTAGCTCTAGTCGAGCGCGCGGGCGACACGGTGCTTTACCGGGGCATGACGCGACGATGGTTCTGTAGCGGCGCGGCGGTATTCCAGGAAGCGTCCCGTTTTGTCCCCATGTCCCTTTCCTTTTAACCTCCTATCCGCTATGGCAGTTCCAGCCTGGGGCTTCGGGGCAACAAACATTTGAGGACTACGCCTCGGTCAGATATCGGCAAGGAAAGTCTGTAGCGCAGCCCACTGTATCTGATGGCGGTGCTGGGCCTCGTGGAGCGATTCATGGATCTGGCATGTTACGACTTCGCAACACGGTGAATGTGTCGCTATAGGAGAGTTGGACTAAGGGCGTGCTGCATGATGGGTAGGAGATTAAAGAGAACCCACGCCGCAGCCATAACCACACCCCGCGCCCTGTTTCTACCTCAATGTCGCTTGGTAGCATCGACGCAACCTTGGAATGCAGCTCTCGTATACCGGCAGCCTCTCCGGGTCCATGATGAGGTCAGATGAAAAGCGATGAAACGTGAGGGTGTAGGGGGGTTCGCGACTCTGCATGGGTGATGGTAAGCGGCCAAGGGTCTGAAAAAGCATCCGAGATCAACAGGGCAGTTGCCCAACGTCGTCGCATGGCCACACACCCTCCACCTGCCATGAGGCGCAACACCTTATCTAGCTGAAGCCATATTACTCTTTCTCAGCTATACTGAAGAGTACAGCTGCCTCGGCATATTTGCTTTCCTATCGCAGTAGAGACATTGGGGAAGAGGGCTAACGCTTCGAGGCTCGCAACACCGTGTACCTAAGTAAGCTTGCGATAACGCGCCGCCGTTCGAGGCCATCGATAAACGCAGCATGGCTCCCACTACTGCATCAGAATCCATCCCCGGATCCTTCGCGAGTTCAGAGCGGTTCGATGAAAAAAGCATAGAACCCTCCCGCGATGTATCTGCAACTTCCATCACTCCTCGGACCCAACGTGAACGCGTATGCCTGGTATGGCTCTAGGATCCATGGATGGCAGTGAAACAGCACATCGGAAAATTTGAATCGGACGTTGCGCGACGGCTGGCATACCGAAACAGAGCTTCGTAAACTTGATGGCAGATGCAGTCAAGCGCCCCAGTTCTGCTTCACCGTTTTGTCCGCACTCCCCTGGACCCTGTCCAGACATAGATCCGGTGGCTATCCTCAACGGCGACGGCTAGGACCAAACATGGTTCCGCGGGCAGTAGCTGCCGACCTCAGACCAAGCTATCGATGCAACCAACAGCCAACGGCTATCGCAACATTTAGTCCAGCAATGCTGACGATACCGCTTGTACCCGACCATATACGCTCGCTCCATTTTCCCCATCCCACAAAATTCCGGCATCGATTCTGCACCTACCTCAGCCTTTTCCCACGCGGACTCCACCAGAAAGCGGGCCTGCAAAGCGTTACCTCGAACAGGCCATCGTCCGGGATTCTTCTCGAATGAATCCACAAAAGCCCCTCTTGATAGCCCACTGTACGACCCAAAAGAAAGTCCACGTTGCGTGACCACGGAAGCGGCAGAACTAACCCGACTCATGGCCCGACTGATGTCCACATCCAGTGGGACGGTCTTCTCCCAAGGGGGTGAGTTGCCGCTTGTGGCTACTCATTTAGGGTGCAAGTAGACGGTGCCAAGACATGACAGGGAGAGTGCTGTGCCCGCCTTGGTGGTCCTGTCTTCGGGCTTATCATCGCTCAGGCGTTACATACAATTACATTGTGGGTGATGTTTTGTCCATCTTGGGTCAGACAAGAGACAAGTCGGGGCGACTGCGGTACATCGGCGGGTTTTGCATCGGTGCGAACTGTACGTGATGAACCTCGTTGCTTCTGCATAGTAATCCCGCCAAGTATCCGAGAGATATTAAAAACACGATTGCTCGATAGTCTACAGCCTCAAAGTAGAGACAAAGCCTAGCGTATATGTACATTCCAGTATCCTGTACACCAGGACAAGGTAATGTCACTGATTCTGTTCTTGTGCCTGCGTTTTTGTCTATCTACGCAAGTAAGCCGATGTCCACAGACAGCTCACATGAGACCAGAAGTAAGTCCGCACTGGATCCTGAAAACTGCCGAAGACTCGTTACTATCATGCCTCTTCTCAAGTTAGACATCTACTCTGCAGCTCAAGCAGCATCAAGTCTTCTCCAGCCTCCACGACGATGACTACAACGCGCGATGACATTTTACCGACATAGCGCCGCGAGTCATACCAAGTGTCTCTCCATGGATGCGCTTTGTCTTTGCAGTAACAGTGATCTATGACTTGCTGCCATATGTCCAGATGGTGAGACTATGCCGCAGCTTCAATGCACTGTAAGTACAGCGTAAGCTTCACTAAAGGCTATGCCATATTGCCCAGGAGAAACCTCCAGGTTTGTCACGTCGAAGGTCTCTTTTATATCCGCTTCCGTGAACGTTGACTGACACCTTGAATACGCGGAATATCTCCGAGCCGAAATGCCTTGTTTGTGTTTTTTTTTTAGCTAGCTGTCCCATCGAAGCCGAATACCATACAAACCAAACATGACAATATACAAGGCCTGAAATACGCTTCTTTGGAAGTGAGACGAAAGAAGGAAGACGTCGCCATAGAAGTCCCGGAGAGGGAGTGCGGCAGATGGGACGAAGCGTTGAGGTATGGCATCTGATGATGGAAACCCAGATTGATCCTGGACATTGCAAGTGCCCGAGGGGAAAATATTGACGACTGACAATTGCGATCAAGAGCAGCAAAGAGGGAAGGACAGATGCGTCTCGAATGATGACATTATGCAGAGAACAGGAGTATTGAGCAAATCGAACCGAACAACGCAGACAGCAACTTGAAGATATCCCGTACATCCAACCTTCAACACATCTTCCCCACCCCTCTCCTCCCACCCCACAACCCCCGCGCACCTCATCCCACCTAAGCAGTCTTCCTCCACTGCCCCCAGACCCCCAGCAGCGAACTCGTCGTACCCGCCAATCCCACAATGCCATCATCCAAATCAACCCAGCCCAGCGCGCTGCTCGGG